CTTTGAAAACAATTTTTTGGAAATTCGCATATTATTGGCCACAAACAAAGTTAAAAACCAGTAAGGAAAGTAGTAAAGTTGGACTAAGCCGGCTATATGGTACCCTTCACCTCTTTGGGTATATTCAACATATGTATCCTAACAGACGACGCGTTTTTGGTATATATCGATATCTGAACCGATTTCAGGCAAACTTACCAGAGACCTATTTGTATTACTTCAGTATGTTGTGTCAATCGGCCTAGCTATGGATTTTTTCACGAAGCTTAGCAACATCATTCTATACTTAATTCAGTACCCTATACGAAAATTCGTGCAAATCGAAAGATATATAGGGACGTTGGTGCACCATTTACATTAAATCGGACGAAAATATATGGGAGCTATATCTAAATCTGAACCGATTTTCAGGAAACTTAACACACATAATTCTAGACCTAATCCATTACGCTGTGCCAAATTTCGTGCAAATCGAAAGATATATAGGGAGCTATATCTAAATCTGAACCGAATTTTCCCGGTTTCAGATTTAGATGCCAAATTTCGTCCAAATTGGATCATAAATGCGACTTGTACTTTGTTTACAAAAATTCCATGGACGGACGGACATGCGTAAATCGACTCAGAAAGTGATTCTATGCATATTCTTACTAGGAACCATGTGTCTATCTCGTTTCCTTTTGCTTGTTACAAACATATGCACAAATACATAATACCCTGTACCACAGTGTGGTGCAGGGTATAAATAGAATGGATCGAATTTCATTTGCGAAGTCTTGGCTAAACGGATGGTGAAAACGATCGTGGTCAAAGAGCGGTAACGCACCTAAAACGGCGGACAAACCAGGACTATGGGCCAGGAAGGTGGTGCTATGCATTCGGTGGGACTGGAAGGGGATTATTTATTATGAGTTACTTCCATATGGTCAAACGCTAAATTCTGATCTCTACTGTCAACAACTGGACCGTTTGAAAAAACAAACAATTGACCAGAAACGGCCAGAATTGGCCAACAGGAGAGGTGTCGAGTTCCACCAGGACAACGCTAGGCCACACACAGTCACAGTGACTCGCCAGAATCTTCGGGAGCTTGGTTTGGAAGTTTTAATGCATACTGCATACAGTCCGGACTTGGCACCATATTTTTCTTGCATTGCATAATTTCTTTAATGATAAAAAATTGGTATCTAGGTAGGATTGTGAAAATCGACTACACAGAATCTTTTCTGTGTAGTCTATGCATATTTTCATACAAGTAAAAATTCTTATAGGCCACAAGTTTTCAATCTTAAGAAGAAACCACCACAATAGAGCGAAAGGAAAATAGAGCGCAAAAAGTGGTAAGGTAGAGCGAAATAGGAAACTTGTTGCGATATTAATGAAATGTTTACAATTTTTGGAAAAAAATCAGCTGTTTTTTTTTTTGCTATCATTCACCCTGTCTCCCCTTACTTGGTGTTTATTGTTTTTGCTACCGTTTCTGTTGGTAAAACCACCGACATTTTACTCACTCAATTGTGACTAGTTTTGCATTGGTGTTATAAAATTCGCATATGTATTTTCCACACAGATATTGATACCCAACTCAAGCCCTACCGAATTTTTAACATTGTACATAGCTATAAAGTAAAGAATAAGAATCGAGACAAGACGTATCGAAGAAGAAAACATACAATCAAAATTGAAAGAGTACGACTACAATGAATTTCGATGTCATCGAAACACGCCACCACCAAAGTTGTTTCTCTCTCTCTCTGAAAAGAAACCAGTATTTAAAGTTTTATGCATTGCATTCATAAAATGCAGAAATCTCAAAATTGGCAACACTTTCTGAAGACTATTCATATAAGATACGAATCATTTATATATAAATCCGAATATTATATTAATATACTCAAAAGTAATTATAGGTCCATCATAATTCCTTTTCCCTGTTACAAACATATACGCCGTTTGTCTGCCTATTATAATTTACATTAATCGTACATATTTAAGATATCAAATGGACCAAAAACATTATTTTGTTTTTGCTTTTCTGGTCCCTCTAAGAGTACAGTTATTTAATATCTGGAAATTTTATACGAAGATATGAATCTGGCTAACAAATATCTATAGGAGTTTTAATGGTAATATACCAACACCACAGAAAAATACAAATTTTGCCTAGTATGAAGTGAATGTTCTTCAATGGCGGAATCCTTTTGATGTAAGAGGGCGGATATGGGAGGTATAATAAACTTTGTCTGCGTATTGTTATATATTACTGTTACCACACAGTGTAAGGCAAATATACTGAAATTTCCGGGGCTTGAAATATAGCTTTGCAGAAAGTCAGAAAGGGTCGGCCCCGTTCGTCCATAACGATTCGATTACTGGTGTTTTGTTGATATAGCATCTCTTGAATCTCTTTATATCGCGCATCGTTCAAAGTACAGCAGGTTTGCTTAATTTCTTACCCAATAAGATGGCAAATGAGCCTCTTCGCTTAGCAAAATTTGTCATCTAAACATGATTCAGGCGTAAGTCTTTCCATGATGGAAAGCAAAACAATACAAAATAGAAACAAGTAAAAAAGTTGTTAAGTTCGAACGTGCCGAACTTCCTACATCATTCTCATTCATTATATTCATTTTTTTTATTGAATGCTATTTATTTAATTACAGTCCTTGGGTTTACAAAAAACTCAAAACATTTAACCTGAAATTAAGCGAACGTTTTCTGGGAAGAAGTTTATTAACCACCAGAAATCATAGTTAAAATCTTCAAAATGCCAAAAATGAAGAGGTTCCTCATATAAAGGGTGGATATTTTAAAACAAAGGCCAAGATGGAAAAATTTCAGCAAATATTTTTTTCACCCTTCGAGAACCCGAAATGCTAAAATACTGTTAATTTGGTCGGATAATCCAGCTAAACGCAACTAAATACAAAAAAAGGGCGATACCTTATAGTTAGGGGCTAAGTCAAAACATGAACGATATGCAAAATGTTCTGCATAGATGGTCTTCACCATCCAATAATGCGGAATGTCAAATTACATCTACTTGTGTGAGCAAATGCTGTTAAGTACTAAAAACTACCTAAAATGGTGTCGCACATTTATTTGGAGGTTATTTGAAAACATGGACCAGCATTGATGCATTTTCTGGACTACGAATATAAACCTCCAAAAATCCCACAATGTCAGATTACATTCACCTAGGCGGAATAATTCGATAAACACACAAAATAAAACTGAAAAGCGGAAAATACCGTTTGATGGGAGATATATTGATCTGGGAGCAATATCTACCTCAAAGAACCTTTAATGCTAAAAGGTCTTTAATTTTTTTAGCAATTGACAGATAACGTTATATGGTAGTTATACCAAAACGTTGATCGGTATTTTTAATTTTTTATGAGAATCCAAAATAACAAATTAGAATCAATTGGGTTGAAAAACATGTCCCAACTCCCCAAAATACCGAAATTCGGGAGCTAACGTTGGACAAATGTTGATCATTTTTTGGTAGGCAAATTTAACACCTAAGTATAATCCAAGATATTGAAATATAGTAAAAAATTGTGATCTTTCTAATTTTCTAAATTATAACGTGTCCAAAATACTGAATATATCCAATTTTCAATACCAAAGTACTAGGAATACTAGCAATGTAATATAAAGCTTTATATGTATGTACATTCAAAGCTCTTTATTAATTATTGCGATGTATATTATGATTTTAACCAATGGACGGACAGAGCGAAATCCACATAGAATTTTATTCTCTATGGGTATCCGAAAATTACTAATTATTTTTTTTTTCCTTCATACAATTTACCAAAAATTCGGTCAGTTGTTATCTTCCGGGAGGTTTTTAATGCTCTGAGACAAAACAATACCAAGTATCTTCAATATACAGATCTTTATATCGACGTCTCCGAACCATAGTATGCTAATACGACTTAGCATGTTTTAAAGTTCTTTGCGTTTTTCGATACTACGGTCCTTAATTTACATTCACTGAAATTTTGGTAATCATCGGCCTATCCAAACCAAAGTTATAAGCAAAAATGTACTTAGCATGGCACGTACGATGAAAGAAACTTCCATACTTTGAAAGCTTCTACTGAAAAACTCACTTTTCAGACTTAGCATACTATGGTTCGGAGGCGTCGATATACACATATAATGAACGGTATATATGGAAGGTCCTTACATGGAACTCTTTTGAAAATTGTCCTATCAAAATACTTCAATTGGGCAGGATCTATATGAAGGAGCTATATCAGAACTGGACTACCTCCATGAACTCGATAAGAAATGCGGCTAAAACTTGGAAAAGGCCGAATTCTGCGAATGTCGAAATTATTCTATCATAAATTCAAATTACACACTCACATGAATGAATCTAGGTAACATTTAGTTCGTATTATGAATAAATGTATGGGTCTGCAAAAAAAAAAAATATTTCTACAAACCAACAAGATTGGTCCACCCAACCAAAAAAAAAAAAAAATAAGTATACATTATGTGCCCCATAGTACAAATATAAAAAACCCCATCTTAATCTCACTAACACGAACCTCCACTGAAAATCTATTGTACTAAACTATGTACTTTTCTTAATTATTAGTAGATATTTCAAAAAACCCCTTAGTTGTGAGTACTCACGCGAATTCCATAGTATTCAGTATGATTGTTGGTACCGCTTTTTAAAACCCTAAAACTTTCACTTTATATATTTTCCGAATTGTTATAATTCTTAGAATGTAGGACATTGCAAAATTGGGAAATAAGTTTAAAGTTTTTAAAAATATGAGTCTTTAATTGACAAACCAAAAAATCTATAAAAAGTCAAAACAAAAGACTGAAGACACAAACTTAAACACTAGCAACATTGTGTCTTAATTATTTCTTTTTTTGTACTGAAATATTTCCAGTAAATAGACTATAACAAATACTATATTAAGCATTTTTAATTAACACTAAATTCTTGGCAGCATTTCTTGCGTACTTACCAGAAATCGTTGACATTGTACGATTATGATTGCCACGAACTAATTCTGATGGCCGTAGACTGGGTTCTTCAACAACTTCTAAACCAGAATCTGAATCCATGCCACCATTTTCCATATGAATGTTGGTATTTGAGCCACCATGACATGAATTGGAAGAATTGGAATAATCGGAATTATTTTTGCCATGTTGATAGTGTTGTTGTGGCTGCTGTTGCTGCTGCTGATGATGTCCATATTGTCCTGTTGCTGCACGCAGTGGTGGCGGTAATGGTGGTGGAGGTGGACCAGTTGCTGGGGAAAACAAAAAAAAGTGAATGAATGCAAGTTCGGTTGGAAAAAAATATATATTTCAATTCTCTCTCCCCCATTTAAAAAAAGGTGACCCAAATTGAAATACCTTTCCAATTTTTTTTGGTTTGGTTTAGTTGACTTTTTTGGAGGAAGGAGATATGAAAATATTTGACCCACTTACCAATTTCTGTATTTTGGATTGGCGGTGCCGAGGAAACTCGTTTCAAAATGCGATTATTTTGATTATTACCATTGCCATTGTTGTTGTTGTTAGAATTGTTACTATTTATACTATTGCTGCTATTATACAGATTCTGATTGCTGTTATTTATATTGCCGCCAACTTGATTGGAATTGTTGTTATTGTTCATCGATAGTTTGCTTTGACTGCCATAGTGCTGCAATCCACCATTGCTGTGATCCAGATTATTTCGTATCACGGAATTCTTATTGGCCTGCCGTGTGCGTTCTACAACATCTTCTGGTGGACACACACTCTCGTAGGTATCGCTTTTGATGCCACCACCACTACTGCTGTTCAGATGATTTTTCAAATTCACATTTTTACTGCCATAACTGTCTTTCGAACGTATCGAAGCATTGTCGTATTTGCCATGCAGACCAATGATCGATTGTGATTTATTGCGATTTAAAATGCTGTTGTTGTTGTCACGTTTGTTATTTAGATTCTGGTGGTATGGGAATAGAAAATAGAATAAAATTAATTAGGAGCCAGAATAGTATAAAAATTAAAAAAAAATTATAGATAATTTCAGACTTTACCATATTTGTCCTGAAACCCTCAAGACCCTCTAAAAATATTCTTTAAAAAATCTAGGCCTTAGTACAGCCTTAAACAAAATTCTTAAAAAATCTACGCCTTAGTACAACCTTGAATAACCTTGAAAAAATATTCTTTAAAAGCTCTACGCCTTAGTACAGCCTTGAAAAAATATTCTTTAAAAACTCTACGCCTTAGTACAGCCTTGAAAAAATATTCTTTAAAAACTCTAAGCTTTAGTACAGCCTTGAAAAAATATTCTTTAAAAACTCTACGCCTTAGTACAGCCTTGAAAAAATATTCTTTAAAAACTCTACGCCTTAGTACAGCCTTGAAAAAATATTCTTTAAAAACTCTACGTCTTAGTACAGCCTTGACAAAATATTTTTTAAAAAATCTACGCCTTAGTACAGCCTTGTAGAAATATTCATTAAAAAATCTACGCCTTAGCACAGCCTTGAAAAAATATTCTTTAAAAACTCTACGCCTTAGCATAGCCTTGAAAAAATATTCTTTAAAAACTCTACGTCTTAGTACAGCCTTGAAAAAATATTCTTTAAAAACTCTAGGCCTTAGTACAGCCCTGAAAAAATATTCTTTAAAAACTCAAGGCCTTAGTACAGCCTTGAAAAAATATTCTTTAAAAACTCTACGCCTTAGTACAGCCTTGAAGAAATATTCTTTAAAACATCCACGCCTTATATGGTCCTTGAAAAAATTTTCTTTAAAAACTATACGCCTTAGTACAGCCTTGAAAAAATACTCTTTAAAAACTCTACGCTTTAGTACAGCCTTGAAAAAATATTCTTTAAAAACTCTACGCCTTAGTACAGCCTTGTAGAAATATTCATTAAAAAATCTACGCCTTAGCACATCCTTGAAAAAATATTCTTTAAAAACTCTACGCTTTAGTACAGCCTTGAAAAAATATTCTTTAAAAACTCTACGCTTTAGTACAGCCTTGATAAAATATTCTTTAAAAACTCTACGCCTTAGTACAGCCTTGAAAAAATATTCTTCAAAAACTCTACGCCTTAGTACAGCCTTGAAGAAATATTCTTTAAATAATAAACGCACCAGTAGGCCTTCGGAAATTATTCTTTAAAAAAATCAACGCCTTAATAGGCTTTTGAATATTGTAAACGAAATTTCAAATTTCACTACATCAGCCTTTTGGCGGACTATCCATCTTTCAAATCCTTCTTCAAAAGACCCATATTTAATATAATTCGGAATGCCCACTTACATGATTACTATATTGTAGAACAACATCGGTGCTGCGTGTCGACGAGGCTGATGCCGAACGTGAATGCGATCCACTATCTCTCGAGCGAGATCTACCGACCATATATTTTTGTTGATTTTTGCGGGCATCCTCTCGCACCAAATAGATATCCTCATAGTCATGGTCATGACTATTCGATTGTGATTGTGGCTTTTGAATGCTGCCATTTGATTTGTTCGTGTTGCTGTTGTTGTTGTTGTTCGATTTGTGATTGTTCAAAAAGTTGTTGGCGGCATTGTTGTTGCTGTTGTTCGAGTTGGAATGGGTGTTGCTGTTACCAGCCTTGTTGTTAAGCACCTGATTGTAATTTTGGCGAGAGCTATTAATGCTACTGGTGTTGCTATTATTTTGATGATGAGACAGCTGCTGCTGTTGTTGTTGGTGTGGGTGTGGCATTTGTTGTTGCTGCTGTGATTTTTGTTGCATTGGTGGTTGTGGCAAATTATTGTGGCGATTGAAACTATGATTCCGATGTGATTGTATCTTGGGTGAATTCAAACTCGATGCAATGGAGGCCGACTCATCCGAACCACTACCAGCCCCACTGGAACTTGAATGGACATCTGCCTGAATGGTCAAGGCATTGGAACTGGGTGTGGAATTATGATTCGATTTCGGCTTTTGATGATGACTGGGTTGGCGGTGAGGATTCGAATGTTTGACACTACTCGAATCGGAATCGAATAGATCACGTACTCGATTATAAATCACCTCTTGGGGGTCGTGGAGGAAAAAAGAATCCCCCGAAATGCTACCGGTCGGCGAGGGTGGTGTATACACGCCATTTACACGCATTGGATTTACATAGAGGCCATCATTATTGGGAACCAAGGAGCCGTTGTAAAGCTTGTCGGACGACGAGCGGGAATGCTGCGACTGAGCGGTGTATATCGATTCACTGGCCTTGCTGCGTGCACCCATTGTTGATGGCGGATGCAAATAGAACGGTTCCTGGTCGGAGCTCATGGTCGATGATGTTTTCGATTTGATGGTGTTGCTACGACTGGTCTGTTTGCTGCTCATCGAATTGTTGCAGCTGCCATGAGAATTGCTGTGACCCATTGCGGAGTTATTGCCACCACCACCACCGTTTTGATGATGGTAATGGTGTTGCTGCTGTGGCGACTGCAGCTGCTGATGATGATGCTGTGCAGCAACATTGCGGCTAGATGACGACGATGATGTAGATTTGCCATGTTTTGATGTTGTATTCTTTTCACGTCCATTATTGTAGTCAACAGATGTTCCATGTTGCACCAGCACGTTCAGACACTTTGAGATTGGGTGCGGAAAAAATAAAAGCAAATAGAACAAGTTAGTAGATGTTGCTGTAGTTGTTGCTTTTGTTATTATGATTTGATTTGAAAGTTTTGAGAGCTCTCACTGGAGTATTGAGAAGGCTCACATCGAATGTGAGTACGCGATCCGACGACTTACCTCAACTTGTTGATTTTCTGCTGCATCATTTATGGGCGATTTACCGTATTTGTCCAGAGATAATTTAGCACCATGACTGAGCAGCCAACGCACCACAGAGAGATGACCACGTGAGGCAGCAAAGTGTAATGGTGTGGCACCATCACCATCACGTAAATTCGGATCAACGCCTTGATCTTGTACCTGGGGGATAGAAATGAAATAAATTATTTGGAATTATTAAAAGTTTAAAAGGATTTAACAAAAAGTGGATCAGGGTGCTATAAGGTTTTAAATTTTTTAAATAATATTTTTCAAGGAAGTTTTATGGCGTGGATTTTTTAAAGAATATTTTTCCAAGGGTCTATTAAGGCGTAAATTTTTAAAATAGTGTTTCTTTAAGGGTTTACTAAGGCGTGGATTTTATAAAGAATATTTTTTCAAGGGTCTATACAAGGCGTGGATTTTATAAAGAATATTTTTTCAAGGCCTTGTATAGCGTGGATTTTTTAAAGAATATTTTTTCAAGGTTTTACTACAGCGTGGATTTTTTAAAGAATATTTTTCAAGGTTTTACTAAAGCGTGGATTTTTTAAAGAATATTTTTTCAGGGGTCTACTAAGGCGTGGATTTTTTAAAGAATATTTTTTCAATGGTATATACAAGGCGTGGATTTTTTAAAAAATATTTTTTCAAGGGTCTATACTAGGCGTGGATTTTTTAAAGAATATTTTTTCACGGGTCTATACAAGGCGTGGATTTTTTAAAGAATATTTTTTCAAGGGTCTATACAAGGCGTGGATTTTTTAAAGAATTTTTTTTCAAGGGTCTATACAAGGCGTGGATTTTTTAAAGAATATTTTTTCAAGGGTCTATACAAGGCGTGGATTTTTTAAAGAATATTTTTTCAAGGGTCTATACAAGGCGTGGATTTTTTAAAGAATATTTTTTCAAGGGTCTATACAAGGCGTGGTTTTTTTAAAGAATTTTTTTTAAGGGTCTATACAAGGCGTGGATTTTTTAAAGAATTTTTTTTCAAGGGTCTATACAAGGCGTGGATTTTTTAAAGAATTTTTTTTCAAGGGTCTATACAAGGCGTGGATTTTTTAAAGAATTTTTTTTCAAGGGTCTATACAAGGCGTGGATTTTTTAAAGAATTTTTTTTCAAGGGTCTATACAAGGCGTGGATTTTTTAAAGAATTTTTTTTCAAGGGTCTATACAAGGCGTGGATTTTTTAAAGAATTTTTTTTCAAGGGTCTATACAAGGCGTGGATTTTTTAAAGAATTTTTTTTCAAGGGTCTATACAAGGCGTGGATTTTTTCAAGGGTCTATACAAGGCGTGGATTTTTTAAAGAATATTTTTTCAAGGGTCTATACAAGGCGTGGATTTTTTAAAGAATATTTTTTTCAAGGGTCTATACAAAGCGTGAATTTTTAAAGGAATATTTTTTTCAAGGGTCTATACAAGGCGTGGATTTTTTAAAGAATGTTTTTTCAAGGGTCTATACAAGGCGTGGATTTTTTAAAGAATATTTTTTCAAGAGTCTATTAAGGCGTGGATTTTTAAAGGAATATTTTTTCAAGAGTCTATTAAGGCGTGGATTTTTAAAGGAATATTTTTTCAAGAGTCTATTAAGGCGTGGATTTTTAAAGGAATATTTTTTCAAGAGTCTATTAAGGCGTGGATTTTTAAAGGAATATTTTTTCAAGAGTCTATTAAGGCGTGGATTTTTAAAGGAATATTTTTTCAAGAGTCTATTAAGGCGTGGATTTTTAAAGGAATATATTTTCAAGAGTCTATTAAGGCGTGGATTTTTAAAGGAATATTTTTCAAGAGTCTATTAAGGCGTGGATTTTTAAAGGAATATTTTTCAAGAGTCTATTAAGGCGTGGAGTTTTTAAATAATATGTTTCGTGTTATTTATTGATTTGCTTACCATCCATTTAACACAATCCAAACAGCCCATTTGTGAGGCCGCATGTATGGGAGCCATGCCATCCCGGGCCCGTACATATAATGAGCCACCAGCCTCTAATACTAGAAATTTGAGAACTTCCAAATGACCCTCTTGTGCTGCCAGATAGACTGGTGTGACATCATTGTCCATTTGCGTATTGGCGCTGCAAAATGAAAAAAACAACGACAACAAATTAATACAACATAAAAATTGATTGCAAAAAGGAAATCCACATTAGAAAAAATACGACGGAACAATTAACGGTGGCTCAGATTGTTGCATGAGATCGTTGTAGTGTGAAACCAGTTTTTTGTTTCATTCGTTACACCAACTTATTTGTTTAATTGATGCTGATGCAGTTGCAGTAACATCGTTTTTTGGCTAAGAAATAGTTTTCATGTTTCTATACAACAGATACGAAAAACAAACAAAAACTACAATGTCAACTGGTTTGTCTTTTGGTAAGATGTCGCAGCCATAATTGTCAATGTTTAATGTTGTGGGTATTCAAGATTTTTTGTGTTCTAATTGTTATAGTTTTATTCTTTTGTTTTCATTTGGAAAACAACAAAGGCAACAACCACCACGCATCGCCGTCAAATGACAGTATCTTTGTTCGCTGGCTTGCTTGCCTCACTGGATGCCACAGCTTGTCTGTATGTGCCTATTTCGTTCAATGTTCCGTTGGAGTTCTACATTTTCTGCAGGATGCATTTAGAAAGTAAACTTGTGGTTGGCATTTTCATTTTGTAACGGTATTGCCAAATGAAAGTTTGTCTGCCTGACTTTATCGCATAAATTGTTTGAATCTTATTTCCATGTAAAAAAGAGACACAAACACACACACGCACTCCATATTGTATTTAGGCGAGTTTGTTTCCTAAGTCTTTTGTTTAAAGTAAACTTGTTTGAATATTTTTTGGGGGAGACTTGGATTTGTTTGTTTTTTATAATATGTAAACTATTACTAGTAGCTCAGGTTCAGGAACGTATTTACTTTTAAAAAGTAATTATTGACTGCCACGCCAAAAGGCCTGTATTTTTCAAATAATATTTGTTGAGGGACTGTAAAGACGAGGATTTTTAAAAGAATATTTTCGAAGCTTTTTGTGTGGATTTTCTAAAGATTTAATAAAAAATTTTTTTAAGAACACCAAAGGCGTGGATTTTTTAAAGAATATTTTTTGAGAGACCCCAAAGGCGTGGATTTTTTCAAAGAATATTTTTTGAGGGAACCCAAAGCCGTGGATTTTCTAACGAATATTTTTTTTGATTTTTTAAAGATTTTTTTGAGAGACTCCAAAGGCGTGGATTTTTTAAAGAATGTTGTTTGAGGGACTCCAAAGCCGAGGATTTTTTAAAGAATATTTTTTTTGAGAGACTTCAAAGCCGTGGATTTTTTAAAGATTATTTTTTTAAAGACTCCAAAGGCGTGGATTTTTAAAAGAATAATTTTTTAAGGGACTCCAAAGCCATGGATTTTTTAAAGAATTTTTTTTTAGAAGGACTTCAAAGGGATGAATTCTAAAAGGAATATATTTGGAGGGACTCCAAAGGCGTGGATTTTTTTAAAGAATATTTTTGAGAGGTTCCATAGTCGTGCATTTTTTAAAGAATATTTTCTGAGGGACTCCAAAGGCGTGGATTTTTTAAAGAATATTTTTGAGGGGTTCCATAGCCGTGCATTTTTTTAAGAATATTTTCTGAGGGACTCCAAAGGCGTGTATTTTTTAAAGAATATTTTTGAGGGGTTCCATAGTCCTGCATTTTTTAAATAATATTTTCTGAAGGACTCCAAAGGCGTGGATTTTTTATAGAAAATTTTTTAAGGAAACCCAAGGCGATTTTTTCAAAAAAAAAAAATTGGGGAACTCACAAGGCGAGGATTTTTTAATAATTTTTTAAGCCATAATTAAGATTTTTTAAGGGACTACTAAGGCGTGGGTTTAAAAAAAATATTTGTTCATGGGCTACAAAGGCGTGGATTTAAAAAGATATTTTTTAACGGATTAAAAACAATATTTTTTCAGTTACTACTGAGGCGTAGATTTTTAAAAAATATTCTTTATAAGGTTTAGTTTTTTTATATTCTTTACGAGCACTATTGAGGCGCAATTTTTTTTTTAAATATTCTTTTCAGGCACTACTAAGATGTTCATTTTTTGAAAAAATATGTTTTCATGGGCTACTGAGGCGTGAATATTTTGAAATAAAATATATTTTCATGCGCTACGGAGGCGATATTTTCTTTTAAAATATTTTTTCATTTTCTATGTTTTATAATATTTTTTGAGGCACGAACATCACGTGTTTTTGAAGAATATATTTTTATTATATTTTATGACAATTTTCAAAAAATTATAAAAACAATTTCTACCATTTTTCTCACCTAACAACATTACGACGATTATTCTGTTCCTTGCGAACACCTTGTAAATTTTTCTCTTTGGCATTATCTCCAACATCATCCGGATCGTCATCCAGCGGATCATCCATTATTTCAGCTAAATCGGATAGATCATCACTTGACGAACGACGTAAATTCCCAATATTATCCGGACTATTATTACTCTTGTGATTTGATGAACTACCTCCGATTTCATTGATCATCGAACAAATATCGGAATTTGATTTACTTTTTGTTTTATTACCACGACGATATGATGCCAGGCTGCTGGTCATTCTGCCGAGGAGACCTTTTTTGACGCTGATTGTTGAAAAATAACTAAGTTAGTTGAGGTGGCGACACACACACACAGACACAAACAAATAAACGAAAATATAAAATGAAATGATTTGAATGAAGTGCGATTTTTTTTGATATTATGCAAAAAGGGCGGATTTTTCGAAGGAGGTGAAAATTCCAATACTGAAGAGTATTGATGAGTCAGGGATATTTTAAACATAGATTGATATGCTTAAGTATTTTAAACGAGGAAGAAAAGGGCAGACAGTGGGCATTTGTGCCATCGATAATTGGTGGTGAAATATTGAAATAATATTGATCAGCAGATTTCAATGTGCAATGAGTGATTGGAAAAGTTCAAGATTTATTGCTGTAGATAATTTTGTAGTTGATTTTAAAATTTGGTGCACAGAGATAGCCTTGGAAATATTTTTTTGTAAATATTCTTTTTATTTACTTTTGTTTGCAATTTTGTATTCAAAATTTGACAATAAAAATTTCACTTTTCACTGCTTTTGATTTTTTTTCTTTCTTTGTTTACACTTTGTCAAGGTTGTTTTTGTTTATATATTTCTTAAAATACTTTATTCTTTCATTGGTATTTTGTTTGACTAAATTGTTTCTATTATTATGTTAATAAGTTTCTTAACACATTTTTAGCTAGCCCGCTATTTTGCAGAAATAAATTTCACTTTTCATTCTTTATTGTGTTCGGAACTCTTTTGTTTCAAAAATTTTGGAAATTAATGGCATTCTTTTCAAACGTGGTTTTTAACCTTAGGTTAATAACTGTTTCATATGATTGATTGATTGATGAGTTTTAAGCGTTTTCTTTAGCAATTTGTTTTAAGAAATTTAATGACTCTATTTTGTGTGCATTTAATTGATAAATCGTTGCCGAAAAGAATAAACACTGAATAGTATTTAAGGAAATTAAATAAAAATTAAATGATTGATAATGTTTTTTTTTTTTTGTTGAAAATATTTCATATACCGAATGTGATATGTCACAAGCAGAATCAGATCAGAAGCCGGTGAACCTTTAACAGTTTCATTACTTCTTCAACAAATCTAGCAGAAACTCACTGTTGGAGTCGTCTAATTTCTAACAAAATGTTGGCAGGTTAAGAAATGCAGGACATAGAAGACTTGCCGTGTGGTTTCATGCCTATAAAAGATCTATGTAAACTGCCTTAATATGCAGAATGACGTGACGGAATGCCTTATTTTTATTGGAGATCTTCAAAACGTTTTAGAACCACAGAAAGCAAAAAGAAAAAACCTACAAAATATCTTCTATAGAAATCCATTAGGGTATATGCTATTTAATGGACTTGTGAGTATTTAAGGGGACCCCCCATTCTCAGTGGCAAAAAAAAATTATTTATTTTATTCTGGAATGTCCCTACAAAATTTCAAGAGAAAATCTCAACAACTCTTGAAGTTATAGCCGATTTATTGTGTCAGCATCAAGTGACGGCAGGAGTGATTCTCAAACTTTAAATGCATTTTTCTCGAAGCAGTATTTTACGAATGGCGGGCACGATAACTCAAAAACTAATAATCCAATCGGTTCCAAATTTTGACACGTTTCTCTGGCAGTGTATAGCAATGAAGGCGATTTTTGACCACAAACTAAGTTAAAAAACAAGTGAAAAAGCGTTAAGTTCGGCCGGGCCGAACTTTGGATACCCTCCACAGTATTAATGAAAATATAGGGAACATACCAAAAAGTGGGTATATACCGATAATTCTACAAACCGATTTATGTAAACCATTATGTACACCAAATACAAACTTCAGCAATTTTTAATGGGGATTTTTCCTAAAATCTGCAAGATCCAAAAAGTGGACTGATAACGTATGGTAGAGTATAAAATCCTCAAGAACCTCAAGAACCTCAAAATATCGAAAATTGCAAGGCACCCTTATATGGGGACTACCCGATAAAATTGACCTCTATTTATAATTTTATGTGGAGAGATTTGCTACCCAATAATAACTGAAATTACTAAATTACAGCCAATTCGGTGAAAAATCCGGTCAAATCCCCCCAAAAACTGGATATTGGGAGGTACACTTATATGGGGGCTACCAGAAAAAGTGGACCTATATTTATAATTTTTAGTGGAGAAATTTGGTACCCAATAAGATCCCAATGTACCAAATTTCAGCGAATTCGGTTGAAAACCGCGCTCAAGGACCCTAAAATACCGAAAATTGGAGGGTACCCTTATATGGGGGCTACCCGAAAAAATTTACCTATATTTATTTTATATATTTATATATATATATATATTATATTTTTAGTATAGATATTTGCTATCCAATAAGAACTCAATGTACCGAATTTCAGGGAATTCGGTTGAAAACCGCGCTCAAGAATCCTAAAATTCCGCAAAATTTGGGGTACCCTTACATGGGGGCTATCCGAAAATATGGACCCATATTTATAATTTTTAGTGGGGAAATTTGGT